AACTCTTGGGCTACTCTTTTACCAACGAATAGTGGGATTGATCGTCACATTATAACGCCCGCACGGCTGAAAGGGCGAGCATGTTTGGTGTGACAGGGATTCGAACACGCGACCCTCAGATTGGGAGTCGAGTGCCTTAACCACCTGGCCATGCCGGGCCAGGTAGGTGTGTTTCTTGAACCAGATAAGAAACAAACACGTTAAAAGCTCGAAAGTGCCTTTATAAACAAAAGATAAGAAATGTTTCATTACCTTTAAAACTATTTAACGAATTAAATTCTGTATTAATTTTGCTGTGCATTAATTAAAAATTGAATTTTATGCAAAATTCAAAAAATGTACAAATGACGAGAACTAAGAAACTAAAGCAAAAATTCCACGAGGACGCAACTTAATGGGAAGGTATCATAATATAGGTACACTAGAGTGCTTTAAACCTTTATTACAAAGTCTGAAAAATCAGCTGTGATACTAATATTTAATTTTTTAGTCCTAAAGAAAACTCAGTTCAGTTTTTAGGCTTTACAAATATTTTCTACATACATACATATATCGTTATAATTTTTAAATTAAGGAATTAATTACTTAACAATGAAACAACGTAAATATTTAAAATAATCTTTACATTTCAAGTAAACACATGATTTCATGTAAATACGGGATTTTTGATGCTATAGAAATGAATAGATAATCATATTAATAAAATCAAACAAAATTCAAATAGGCTTACACTGCTAAATTAGGGACGGCTAGCGCAGATAGCCCTCGTGTACCTTTGCGCGAAAATTCAAAAACAAAACACACTTACCTGAAACCTCCTAGGAAAAGCGAAATGTTTTTATTTATTAATAGCCGGAGTACCCGTCCCCTGGATGGAAGATATGTAAATTCGTGATTAATGAAAGGTTATCATAGGGCATGAAAAGTTGCTTCCCTTATATGTAATTGTAAAAAAGGAAAAACGGTGATCAAAACACAAAATGTGAAACCGTAAATTTTTATGTACCCAACAAACCTTCATGGCAAATTTGGTAAAGATTCATGATTGTTTGTTATGGATTTCGCGCAAAGCTACACGAGGGCCATCTGCGCTAACCATCCCCAATTTAGCAGTGTAAGACTAAAATCATCACCACCCACCGCCAATTCTTGGGCTACTCTTTTACCAACGAACAGTGGGATTAACCGTCACGGCTGAAAGAGCGATCATGTGTGGTGTGACAGAGATTCGAACCCGCGACCCGCAGATTGCAAGTCGAGCGCTCTAACTACCTGGCCATGCCGGGCTAAAGATTCATCAACAGGGGGCAAAAGTAGTGGTAAAAAACGCCCATAAAACTGCAAAACACAAAATGTGAAACCGCAAGTTTGCATGTATCTCCCAATGCAAAACCTCCATACTAAATTTGGTGAAGATCCATCTGCAGAGGGCGAAATAGTGGTAAAAAACGTCCATAAAACCGCAAAATGTAAAGCTGAAAATTTGTATCTACCCTCGCATGGACCTAATGAACCTGCGTACCAATTTTAGTGAAGATCCATCCATACCCTAGTTACATGGACATACAACAGATAGTACTATTATATGTATATAGATTTATAACAAGTAGACTTGGTATTTGACCCAGAATGTAGCAAATATAAAAATTATAATTATTTTCGTGTGAAAAACCACGGGCTGTAATCAGAAGTAATATCAATAACGTGGAGTTTGTGGTGTGTGTATATATTTGTACCTGCAAATTTTGAAGATTGTACATGCCAGTTAATTCTATATATAATATTAATAGTAAAAATATAAACTAGGTGGATTTTTTATAACAAATAAAACTGTTTAACATTTTTGTAAAATCGTACACACTAATAATTATAACAAATTGGAAACTTATTAAACGTATAAATCTAAGACTTTTTGCAATATTAACTTTAATTTTAAAGTATTACTAATACTACCCCACTGATGATTGATATGAAAAACCGAGATCAAAGTGAGCTCGAAGTTCATGCAACGTTAGGTCTAAAATCTTGGGTAAACTGTATTGCTTCAGTAAAGCTAATAATATTAGCTGACAGTTCATGTTGAAATCATTCTCATAAACATTTTATTTTTAATCATATTACTAATACTAACAAGTTACTCTTTTAGATTTTACCATGTTTGACTAATGTTACTATGAGTATGACTTAACGATAATAGTTTCCTAGGCGTAGACCGTGTAGAAAATAATACCACTAGTAGTAGTTCACCATAAAAGTATACTGTATAGGCCTAGTAGTACTACGGATTTTAATAGCTTACCTTTAATATTTGTCCTTTCTTGAAGCTTAGTTCGTCATCAGCAGTTGCATTAAAATCATATTTTGCAATAGCTTCCATTTTTCAGCACTACTTCTATAGGTTTTTCGAAATTAAATACACTTTTGAAGCAAACGCTATACTTCTGGATTAACCTTGTATACTAGCAAGTAGTATCAATTTTGAAATTTAGCTTACTTATTAATGTAATATTACTATAGTATAATATTAGTATTTTAATAATATTGTGTGTGATGTTTCCTGTTGGTAAGCCTATAATACATTAATTAATTTATTATAAACTAAAATTTAACAAATTGCCTTATCAAAATATTATTTTAAATTAAGAGTTGTAAGTTGTAGTATTTATCACCTGACTTATGCCATCTATAAACCTGAAGCTTAATGTACAGTATAGGCCTAAATAACTATTGTTTAAAAAAATTTGTACGTGATGAGCAGAAATTTTAATTTTACTTTTTAAAGTTTTAAAAATCATGAGACCTTTATGATAATTTGTAAATGGTATGCATTTTATAAAGTAAGAGAAAGTGTTTCTATATTGTAAAATAGAAGTGTTCAGTAGACACAGGAAAGTATCTTTTATCTTTATAACATAATAAGTAAGTAAAAATAATAAAAAAAAAGGAAATATTACATCATGACTGCAAGAATCCCAAGACGTGTAAATAAAGCTCCGAGTTGTTTTACACGCACCTGTCATAAATAAGATAACGTTGGAATGATGGTTTAGATACGAAGCTAGTAATGTGCACTTGATGAGACCATCGGAAGTATTATAAATGAAAAAAAAAAGTTGTAAGTAGTAAAATAGATAAATAATTCAACATGATTTTATGTTGATTTACATGTAAATTTATCCTTTTCAGGAATAGCATTTTCTATCTTTACATGTTATTCTAGCTCAAAGTAATTTATATCCCTCGTTTCCATCTGGTGTAAATCACGGGGACAAAACCTCTGTACATATTTGTTAAGTTTCTGTTGAACTTTCTATTATTGTGGTATAATGTCACGCAAACCACCAATCTTTTAAAGCATCAGACATAACATATGGACAACGAGGGACCTTTTGGCCTTTGAAGGCTGTCTTTGCACACTCATCCTCGAGCAAAGTAAAAACTAAACCTACCCTTTATTTTTGAGGAAGTCATTGATTCCCCTCTTAATTTTCATCTAAAAGGCTGGCCTCCATTTCTGTAGATGGCAACTCATTGCATATGCCAATCATCCTGTTAGAAAAATAAAACTGAAGCCTGACCTGTTTTCTCTAAATCTTAAACTTGTGTCCTCTTGTCCTTTAATTTTCAGAATACAACACAGAGAAATCAGACTTTTATTCTCTCGATTCATTAAAACCACCTCTTACCTTTCTTTTCTCAAAAGAAAATGGGTTAAGAGATTTTAACCTTTCTCCATAAGTTAACTTTCCTACCCCTAGAATAAATGTAGTAGCTCTCTTAACTTTCTTTTGAATAATTTAATATCGTTTTTTATATATAATCCATTTTTTCTATCAGCTATTGAGTGTATTCCCACCAATATTAAGTGTGTGACCCAAATACTTATAATACAAATGCATACCTTGCACTTAAGGTAATTAAAAGCCATACTTCATCATCACACTTTACTAATTATGCCATCTCAATGTCTTTACGTAAATAAGAAAAAGCTAAAACAATTTCCATATAGTAACCATGTAACCCATATAGATTCAAACTCTCAACTACTATTTGTTTGTCTTCAATCTTAAAACGCTGCAGTTCATCCCTCGTATATAATCACCCAACCCCTCCGTTAAAAAGTATCACTATTCAATAACTTATAACCTGAAATTTCAAAATAGTTCTGATTATCAATATTTCCCAACTCCAAACAAATTTCTATTATTACAATTTTATTATAGTCTTTCATTTCAACTATAGCTCTGTTGTTTCTATTACTCCTAGCATTAGAATAAAAATAGCTAAATTTATTCATGATCTTACTGTGGTTATCTTTACAACTGACAGACGTAACTTTAAAACTATTACTTAACTTTATTTTTTATGGTTTAACTCTTTCTTTTTTTTTCCAAACTCTTCACTGCACTAACTATTCCATTAATTTCTTTATTCTCAGTGTCCTGAGCTTCCTGTTTAATTTGAACATTTTAAATTAATTTATTTAGGACTTCCTCAAACATCTTGCTACTAACCTGTTTAATTGGGGCCAGTCTCTAGCATATAATTCACCCCATACTCTGAAAAATATCCCATGGGTCAAACTAGACCACTTGTTGCTGCAAGCAAATCCCTGATAATCTTACATTTAAGTCTTGGTTCCTGTAACTAAATTGTCAACGTGCCTTGTAATGTCCAATACTTTAGAACCTAGCATTTCTAGTCTTAGTCTTTCTGTGCTCCCCCCCCCTCCAAATAACTTTATCATTATACATAGTAACAGAGTTCCCCCATGTAGATCTTCTGAGTATATTGTTACTCAGTACACACACCCAAAAAGGTACAAATCTGTTCGAAACTGGTGCACCTGTCTGTGTATCTCTAATATTTTTTTATTTCTAAACCATTGTAAACTCAACTCTCATTCTCCCCCCTCTCCCCTATAGCAACTTTTATCCTAAATCTATTTCCTGTCTGGTTTCCTTGATTTCTGTTCCTAATCTGTTATTTTCCTCTCTAATAGCACAAACTTCCATAAAGCTTTCTCTGGCTTATCCTCAAGTAAGGAAGTTCTGTAAGTGTAGTGTACTTGTTAATATTTCTAGGTGTAAATTATCAACAGTAAAGAATAATGAAAGATATTTGTCAGTTTGGAAATTACACTGATTATATATGTATTAAAATTTAATCACAGGATTATCATGTAAAAGTTAGCTACCTATAGCTGATCTACAATGTTTACAGTGTTGTGTGTGAGTGTTATTTTTTGGAGACTGTTGACATATTTTGTATCTGTTGCTTATCTATTTAAACTCTAATTTAAAATACTGTGTTATAGTGATTTAAATATTTAATTTATGGTCAAATATGGGATTTCAAAAACTGTATTTTCTCTATATATAGTTTCAGATTGTTCTTCTATTTCTGTATCCATATGCTGCTACAAATCCTAATTTTAAATTTAAAACAAATATCTAAAGATATTTTCATCCAAATATCCACACTCTTAGTAAAACTATTTGTTTTTGAACAAACATATATATTTATCACATTATTTTTTCTAGGTTTCAGTATTTTTTTGATAAATGTTTTACCACTGCTGACATGTTTGGTATTATCTGTATTTGACTTATCATTTTGAAGTGTAAGAATTTTAATCCTGTACAGACACTTTAGTGATCTTTGAACTGTTTTTGTTTGTAGTGTAAAAGCCTTTAAACTACAATCTACCAATAATATTTTGTCTTCATGTTTTGTTTTGGAACAAAATGTTTATTTTTATAATTATCCACTATAGAATGGGTTTTTTTGTATGTTCAAGGTTCACGCCAATCTAAATTTGTTACTGATTCTTTGGGATATAAAAAATGACTTGAGTTACAACTAATGTGTAGATACACCCTATACATATCTATCTTTAGTGTACAAATAACAGGCCAGTTGCATGAGAATTGTAAAATCACCTTAATGAAATAATGTTATGTTTTAGACATAATAAAATGTATATATGCAATTAACATTTATCAGGTACTAAATGTTGAAGATGATATGAACTGGTATAGAGCAGAGTTAGATGGAAGAGAAGGCCTCATCCCGAGTAATTATATTGAAATGAAAAAACACGAGTGAGTACGTCCTCTATCTTTTAGTAAACCTAGGTAGAATACTTTTCTCATGCTCAGTCAAATTCTTGTTAGCAACTCCACAAACACTTATTTTTAAAAATCTGAATTAACACAGGTAGTTTTATTTTTTACTTACATGAAAACCTTTTAATCTGAGTTGACACTGAACCTCTGTTTACTTTTGCTATAGTTAAAGATATCCAAAATACCAAATATTGTAGAAGTACAAAAGCTTTCTAAGAATGCAAGTAAAATCTAGAGTATGTTAATCTATGGTAATTCTGACAACAAATTCTAACTCTATATCATCCCTGCTTCCTGTGGCTCAGTATAACTATAGGGAAGCCTTCGAAGCAAGTTATTTTTGACTGAAACTAGCTTACAGTATGTAGGAGTCAATTGGCAGGTTTAACAAAGTAGAATGTTCAACTTTTTTTAATTTTTCAATAAAGTGATTAAGTTATTACACGTTGCAAATATATTTCTATATTCATGACAGTGACTTTTCTACAGTATCACAAAGCTAAAAAATAATATGATTTGTTATAATGTATGTAATACAAATGTTAAAATATATGTTACCTAATCAACACATAGAACCAAATCAAAACAGTCTAACATTCAAAGTTCTTCACACTTTTCTATTGTATCTAGAAAGAAAAGGAAGTATATGAATACTTAGCATCGGAAAGAGCAACTGCGCACCCTTTCAAAAGGTGATCGCTTTTTGGTGGCATCAAACTACCTATGAAACAGCAGATAATGTCAATATGTAGTTCTGATATGTTCCATGGCTTTATATCAGCTGTGGGCCTAACATTACTTGTTAATTTTTTATATTCAAAATTGTTTTAATGTAATCCACTTAATTAACTTTCTATATAAGAAAAAGGGTTTCTTTGTGTAGGGTGGTAGTAAAAAATGGGAAAGACTAGAAGGGGGAAAATGATCCCTTGTTATTCACTTGAAATATAAAAAAAAAATAGATAATTGAATAATGAAAAAAATATCAAAACCATCTAATCAAAACAAATTGACCGTATAGATCAGGACTTACAAATAGTAAGTTGTTAAATAATATAGCAAATTTTATGAATCAATTTAATTAGGAGTATCAATATCATAGAAGAAAAACTTGTAATGTTTAGAATGTATTGATCCATTAGTTGAGTACCCTTGCGCTTATCAATTTATTTGGCCCAAATTCTGAGTATATCTCGTTAGATAAAAAATAAACATGTATATATATCCACACACATAAACATTATTGTTAATGCTGCTAATTAAGCTATCCTTAAAAAATGGACATAAAAACCACTTCTTTGCTTCATGTACTGTTACTGATGCCTAGTCTCGTGAAACGTTTGACACCACTATATGTACAACTTTATTTGTAGTGAAAGTTGTGTTATTTTTGCTTGATGAGTTCTTGTAGATAGATACGTTTGGCACTGTAAAGAAAAACCTTGATATATATATCTAGGTATTACATGTATTTTCTTTAAGGTATGTTGGACAGTTTGTACAAGTGTTGGTGTCAAAAATAGTGATGCTGTTATGAGTAATATTACCATAGAAACATATGAGATTACTAACACAGAGCATTAATTTACTAGAATTCTTGAAAGATCATGAAATTTCTGAAGATTGACTATTAATTTAATTTTATCATTACGAAAACTAGTACACACTTTTTCTTTCTTGCTGTGTTTCAGTTGGTATTATGGTCGAATTACAAGAGCAGATGCCGAGAAGCTACTAATGAACAAACACGAAGGAGCATTTCTTATTAGAGTGAGTGAAAGTTCTCCTGGAGATTTCTCGCTTTCTGTTAAGTAAGTTGGATTCCATGTTTTAATCATATGGTACTAGCATGATTTTTGTGGAAGATTAGATGCTGTGTATCATGAGATGTGTAAAAAATTGTATTGAGGACTGAGAAAATTAGAAACTTGTTCAGGTTTATAGTTGGAGGTTGACATTAGATAACAGTATTTCTTGAGTTTTCCAAGATTCTGTCTTACACGAGTAGCAGAAAAATGAGAAGCATGACTAGTTGCACCCTGATATCATGACTTGGTTAAGGTTAAGTAGACTAGGAACATCTAAATATCATGAGCTAAAGTATTACAGGAAAGTGGAACATCAATGTGCATGTTTAGATCTTCCATTGTGTCATGAGATAGATTAAAGTTGTGTAGGAAACAGAATCGGTAAAGACTTGTTTATATCTTCCATTGTTTCGTGAGATAGATTAAGGTTGTGTAGGAAACAGAATCGTGAAAAATTTTTTTAGGTCTTCCATTGTTTCGTGAGATATATTAAAGTTGTGTAGGAAACAGAATCGTGAAAGACATGTTTAGATCTTCCACTGTGTCATGAGATATATTAAAGTTGTGTAGGAAACAGAATTGTGAAAGACTTGTTTAGATCTTCCACTGTGTCATGAGATAGATTAAAATTGTGTAGGAAACAGAATCATGAAAGACCTGTTTAGATCTTCCATTGTGTCATGAGATAGATTAAAGTTGTGTAGGAAACAGAATCGTGAAAGACCTGTTTAGATCTTCCACTGTGTCATGAGATAGATTAAAATTGTGTAGGAAACAGAATCATGAAAGACTTGTTTAGATCTTCCATCGTGTCATGAGATAGATTAAAGTTGTGTAGGAAACAATCATGAAAGACCTGTTTAGATCTTCCATTGTGTCATGAGATAGATTAAAGTTGTGTAGGAAACAGAATCATGAAAGACCTGTTTAGATCTTCCATTGTGTCATGAGATAGATTAAAGTTGTCTAGGAAACAGAATCATGCAGCATCCCTTACTGTAGTGATGGAAAAGTTTTAAAGGACATGTACATTAGTAACACAAACGTGGGAATGTTGTGTTAGTATTTTCCTGACTTACAGTCATTGTCATTAATTAATTTTTACTTTAAACAAAATTTCAGAAGTCTTATTAGAGTAGTCTTGTGAAACTTTGTAGAGAGAAACATATGAAACAGTAATTTCTTTTACAGGTTTCATACTACACCATGTGTTTGATATACTTTCATGTAAACCAGTTTAGGATTGAAAAAGTGACTCAATCTGAAATTGTTGTATCTGAAGATGTCTGTCAAATTAAAATGGAGGATAATTTGAAAATGTTTTTAAAAAATCTAAAACAAGCTGAAATTGGAATATAAGATTCATGTGAGAATAACACATATATTTCTCCATCTCATGGAAGTATGAATATGAATAGCCTCATTGGGTGATTTCAGAAAACTTAAAATAACTCAACAAACTGTTTATATCTTCCACAATACGTCACACAAATAAGAGGCAGTATCCTTCACATAGTTATTAAGTGATGGGTAGTGTAGATCATGAATGTTTAGTAGTATTTGTTAATGTGTTTTGTCACTTAGCATAGTCATAGTTGTGTGAGGTCATCAAAAGGATTAGTTACTTTCAGCCCTGTTGTTTTTTTTTGTTGTGTTTGTTTTGTGTCTGGATTCTTAGTTGGTTTATAGTGTTACTTATTATTATATGCAACGTTTGTTAAAAGATGTCCAAATGGTGTTCAGCATTTCAAAGTTCTCCGGGATATGCAAGGCAAGTTCTTCCTGTGGGTTGTCAAGTTTAGTTCGCTGAATGAACTTGTGGAATATCACCGGTCAGCCTCAGTGAGCCGATCCCAGGAAATTACACTCGTGGATATGCAACCTGAACAGGTTTGTAATAAAATATTGCTATTAGTTGATCAAAAAAAGGAAAATAAAGGTGCACAACAGAAAAACGGAAATAATGTAGATATAGCAGTTTCGGGAATGTTGTTTTTTCAAGGCTGTGAGGTGAAAGCTCCTAATTATGTAACTTTGATAAAACAGTTCTGCTATTACTGTTTATTCTTATGTCAGCCTGTAAGTCAATTTTCAGTTATTACTGCATCATTATTTCTTCCGAGAGCTGTATCAAGTGTAGTGCGAACAGTGCTCTCACGCAGAATGCTGACCCACAAGTAGTATTGATAGGTCAGCACCAGTTAATTAACATGTGATCATGTATGCGTATTATGGTCTTTATGTATAATATCACATGATATTATCTTGTAGATCATTAGATAAATTAGGTTTTTTGAGCACTTAACCTGTATCTCATTCAGTGCACCATCAATGATCAGTACAGCCCCGTTGTTTCCTCTACAAGTAACTTACAGAAGAATTGAACTAACTGTGTGAAAGACAAAGTTTTTACAAGGAACACTAATTTAAGTTCAAAGTGTTTGTCATGAAACTGGACCAGTGGTAATCTGTGTTAATAAAGAAGTTTTACAAATGTTATATTTGTTTCTCAAAGTTGTCTGAAAATTTGTCGAATACTTGTATATTAAAGGTATTTATTGGATACATTTAACTGACAATGTTCATATAGTTTTAATAGTTTTCTATATTTCTTAGTTTTTGGTTCAAGCCCTCTACGATTTTCAAGCTCAGGAGCCTGGAGAACTGGAGTTCAAAAGAAGTGACATAATCACAGTAATTGATCGTTCTGATGCCCATTGGTGGGAAGGGGAAATGCGTTCGAAACGAGGATTTTTCCCAGCTACCTACGTTGTTCCTTTTCATGCCTAACTAGCTTACATGTTCTTGTGCAGTGCATCAATTTGATTTATAAATCTTCTTCAGTAAAAGTGCTAAGTAATTATTCTTTTCCATTTGTTGAGCTTTTAAGTGTTGACTAGCAAAGTAATTTACGTACAAATTAAAGGTGATAATAATGTTGTTTTGTTGATAAACTGTGTGTTCTACAGTTTGGTAAATTGTCGGTTACAATTGACATATTTGTAAACGAGTTTCACATTCAAAGAAGGAAGTTTCTCAGTGGATTGTTTTGATGATCATAGGCCAAATTAAATCAGTGAGAGTGTAAATCTATCTCCTGTTTAACTTTTAATCTACAATCTTCTGGTTTGTTTGTTTTTTCAGAAAAAAACAAGAATCTTTATCCATGCAATCCAAATTTGACAATCTAATTCTGCTCAGTCGGATGCACTCTTTGTAGTTTAAATGTTTTTGTATTTCTTTAACACTTGTGGTATTAGGGAAACACACCTCTAGCCTGATTATGAAAAGCAGAAACTTTAATTGTTGTAACGTATTAGAAACTAGCTGTTAATACACTTTATCTTTATAGCATAAATCTTCTCTGATAACAAAAACGAGACACCTTGCATTGATGTATTACTTGTTCAACTTCTTAATTCTGTCATCTACATATACATTCGGTCAGTCATATATCACAAATATAAGCTTCATAAAGGTAAATATCTTTATTGGATAAATGAAGTTTTAGTAAGTGGATAATGAAAAATTATCTTTGTTAAAATGAGATAAAACAATATGATTGGTTGGTTAATGTCCTTGTCTGAGCTGATTCTTTTTACTCAAAGTTTTAGGTTACTATTAAGAAAACAGTCATTAAAGTGTGATTAATACGTGTTAGAAAAACATTTGACATTTTTCTTTAAAGCATTCATGGCTTCTTGCCAAAATGATCACGGATAAAGGAAGTGGTGTTATTGAATTACATCTGTTTACTCTGTCTCTCATGTTCTTCCTTTCACTCTTTAGCTAAGATGTTTGTCTTTCATTGCAAAGTACAAACTTTCTACCGCTGAGCTGTTAATTCAGTATCTAGAGTCTTGATTTCAAGTAGGTTACAAATGGATCGTGTTACCGTGTCTACAAGCTAGCAGTGACATGACAAATTATAAACACCTAAAAATCATAAAAAGAAACCCAATTCTTAGGAGTTACAGTTTATGATTGTATCTTATAAGATACTGTGTTTAAAAATATATATTAAAGTATTATTAATGTCCTTAAGAACTAATGAAATTGTACTGTGATTCAGAATTCAGCTTGTGGGCTTATAATGCTAAGAATGAGGGGTTGATACCTGAGGGGGGCACAGTGCAAATAGCTCATTGTGTAGCTTTGTATTTAAACACAAAAACAAAGAAAAAGTACTACATAAATGACAGTTCAAGTTTTTTTCTGACTGAATTTTTTGGTAGTTCTTCTTTTCTCAAATCTGTTTTTATAGTTTTTACCTCTGTTTCTGGAGCAAGTACAGACTTCAGATGGAGCAAAAATGGCTGCAAGAAAGTGTATTGGAGGATTTTTGTTTGCAAGGCAGTCTGAGCATGCTTTGTTATTGAAATATATATAGTATTATAGATCATAGTAAAGGGAAATGAATGTAGATTCATAGTCTGCTAAAAAATATCAAGGTTTTGAGAAAGACAAATTCGTTTTAGACTGTGAAAGAATGGTAGGAAGATAAGATGAAGAAATATTCACAAAAACATAATTTACCAAGTCCTAGCACTGCCCCCATGATGAATATTCACTGCAAAAACTCTGAAATGGCAGGTAGATGAATATTGTTGAAATGTATATCCATAATTCTCCTTGAAACCATCAGTAAAGTGTATTTTATTGAAGAATACTGCATCAGTGTGTATTACGTCAAAGGGAAGTAATAAACGAAGAAAATTGGGAACAATATTTGACAAATATATATACAGTCAATGAACAGCAATCATCATGTCTAGACTATTGCTACTCGTTTTTTTTTGCTTGTGATAAAGCACCAAGCACTTATTTTGACACAGATATGGTCCGTCTACGCATTCTGTGCAAACATAACTGGAGCGACAACATTTTCCAGGACCACTATACTGCACACAGTCTTGATTCTTTCCTTCATAGTCCACAAGATATTTGGCTCCAACCACCCTCTCCACTTCATTCCATTTCTTCCCACAGTTTGAATTATTTGGTAGATATTCTATGATGTCTTCGGGTGTCCCCTCATCAGCTTTGTTTGTGAGGATCACTTTCTTTGTCTCTATCGGCTGGCATAAACTGTACAAGATGTGGGCATTTACTTGGGTCACTTCGATAATATGCTTTCTTCTACCAATTCTGGTTTTTGCGGTTGTGCATACTATAATATCCCACCAACTGGTCCATGTGAATGCAGCAATTCATTGACATGTTGTAGTCATCCACAACTTTTGGCTTTACGATGGTGTTTGCTTCTGCTCCTTTTTGAAGGGTTTGCACCACAGCTTTGGTTGATACCAATTCACTTGGCTTTTTTGCCTCTTTGTCCCTCCAACCAATGCACGTGTTTCGTTTCCTGAGTCCAAAAGCCACCTCACCTCCTGATGGTCAAGTTTCAGACTTTTCACTTCTACAGGAAAGCTGACATAGTTGATGTTGAGTGTGTCAGTGTAATTGAAGCTGTGTGTCTGTAGATAATTTACAAAAGCTGTCACAAACATGTGATAAACTCACTGTAAGGGCTTTAGAAAAGTGTCAAAAACTTTGACAGCATGAGCAGATTTGATTTCAAGGTCAGGGTCATATGCTGTGTCCTTTCCAAAATATATTTTCAAATTGACAACGTAGCTCGTTGCAGAATCACATAGCTCAAATGTCTTGATGTGATATTTTTGGAGCTTGCTTGCATTGAACTGCTTGTGCTAGAATTCATACACACATTTTCATATGGGTAGAAGGCAGTAGGAACTTGTCCAACAACTTCTCCACAACTAGCTCAGTCTTTGCTTTGTCTTCAGCAGCTGGTTCGTAGGCATGAAACATGCTGTGGTAAATGATTTCAAACCTGTCCCTAGCAAACATCTTATGATACCAGAGTGTGAAGAGATATCCAGTAGTCCTTGATCTTGGGTTGAAAGTCCAAACCTATAGTAATCAAAACTACCATAAACTTCAACCATTCATTATAAGTAAATGGAGTCCATGAGGCAAACAATGATTATTTTGTTGGAGGATTGTTTTTTTCCAAAATCTTTGCTGCATATGCATTGATGCTAGAAATCAAAGTGGCCACAATTTCTTCATCAAGAAAAGCTTTGAGAAACTCCAGTGGTGAATATCTCTCATCCAAATCCACTTTCATGTTTAGTTGTGGCTCAAATCAGTCTCTCCTTCTTCAGCTACTCTCCAGGCTACTTCATCTTCACCATTCTCACAATCGTCTCCTGCTCCTACAACTGTTCTCTTCCTCTTGTTAGGTCTAGATCCAGACCCTGCTTTTCTTACCCGTACTCACACCTGAAGGGCCCGCCACAGGACTCTTCTCTTCCTCTTGTTAGGTCTAGATCCAGACCCTGCTTTTTTTACCCGTACTCGCACCTGAAGGGCCCGCCACAGGACTCTTCTCTTCCTCTTGTTAGGTCTAGATCCAGACCCTGCTTTTCTTACCCGTACTCGCACCTGAAGGGCCCGCCACAGGACTCTTCTCTCTCTTTCACTACATCTATCCAAGTCAGATTTCTCACTTTCAAAATTATCATTATCATCACTGGGAATAAAGTCATTTTCTTTGCTCAGAAGTACCTCAAATAACTTCCTAGATTGCTCAGAAGTAAAATGACGAGGCTTGCCAGAAGTAGTGGGCGTGGTTATTTTCTTTGTCTCAAAATAGGGGTTCAAAACATTCTCATAAATCATGGAAAACATGTCTTTCTTCTATCAAATTGGCATTAAGATTGAAGATAATTCCTTAACAGAAGTAGTTCTAGTTTTATGTTGAAGATGAAAGGCATTAAAAATGTGAGATTGATCTTGAAACAGACCAAGACCTACAAGCTGCTCGGAGACGAAGAATTAAATCACCCAAAATTCACACTTAAAACAAATGTGTAAAACTCTTTCAGAAGAGTAGCCAGAAGTTATTGGTTTAAATAGTTTTTAAAACAGAGCATGTCGTGTTCAGATATAATCTTCAGTCTGGTATGTAGTCCGAGTGTTATATGGTCTGTTTAAGATTTTAAGAAGCAAATATTATTGATTAGACTAGCAGAAAGGTAAGCTTGCCTTTTTGGTCGTACATCTAGACTGTTTCTATGTCTTGGACCATGGATTGAACGGTCTGAGCTTCGAGACCATGCAACCTGAATAATCCAAGTTGGATTTAGTATACAGGATATATTAAGAAGCCAAAAGTAAATCCTCCTGTGAAGGTTTTTCCAGTTAATGATGTATTTAGAAACATATGCTAAGCAGTTGAAAATGTTATTACTACTCGTGTAAATATATATGCAAAAGAAGTTTGTTTGTTTTTTATTTATTTTGGTGGTGGTGAGTGTATACAATTTCAACATGGGTGTTATACTAACAGAAATGTACTTTTAAGTTTTGTTTAACTTTGCTGTTTTGCATGTGATAATGTTTGTGCTTTAAGTATTGTTGTACTGGAAATAAAAAGTTTTAGTCTGATGGTTTTTAACCGTACGGCTATGTTTTCTAATAATTGTTTGAAGATGATGATGATGTATGGATGATAACAATGTTTGTAGTTGTTGGCCAACCGGATAAGAACTGCAAGCTAGGTTGACAGAGAGTGAAGACTGTTTTCTTCTTTAATACAAGAAAACCGGATAACGGTCCCACGTACAGTCATAAACTGGGCTTATATTGTAATGTTGATTCATGAAGATTATAGATGGTATAATATACCACCTTTGTTAAAAGGGAATGTAAACGATTTCTATATAGTAATAAGATATCATAGTCAAGAGTGGAAATGAACTGTATAGGATAGTTTGAAGAAGAGTGAAGATGATGCTCTGTATGCTGGTAGACCAGATTGGAGGAGAACGAAGATGTGTTAGATAGCAGTACTAGATTATTTTCATCAGTGGAGATGATGCCCAGTGTAGTTTTGTTTTAGAATTGTTAATGACGTTTCTTGCAGTAGAAGTTAGTGTTAATGTAAACAGCTAAGCATTAATAATGTAGGTGACACACGGTTGGTTAATAAATTATGAAGTTAGTGTTAATGTAAACAGCTAAGCATTAATAATGTAGATGATACACGGTTGGTTAATAAATTATGAAGTTAGTGTTAATGTAAACAGCTAAGCATTAATAATGTAGGTGACACACGGTTGGTTAATAAATTAAGTAGTTAGTGTTAATGTAAACAGCTAAGCATTAATAATGTAGATGACACACGGTTGGTTAATAAGTTATGAAGTTAGTGTATATTTTAGGTTAGGTCATGACGTATTGGTAAATCTAACAAAATTTGTGTGCTGAAATTTTTTAATATTTTCAGGCCAAAAGGCTAAATCAGTATACCACAAAGTAGCTTTTAAAGTTTGTTTTTTAAATGATATTCCATTTATCGTTGATTTCTTGATTGTATAGTTATCAGCAGTGCCATATTATTACCTTTTGTAATATTTTCTATATAATAACGCCCCCTCCTGTGGCTCAGCGGTAAATTTTAGAGCTTATAATGCTAAAAACTGGGTTTCAATACCCACAGAAGGCAGAACTCAGACAGCCCATTGTGTGTGGCATTGCACTTAACAACAAACAAACAAATCATATGTAACAATTACATTTCTTGTTTTTATTGGACGAAAATTCATACTTTAACATGAGTTTGTAATAAAATGATTAGGCTAGTTTCAGAAAGGGTAATTATGCTATCTGTTTAAATAAGTATATTTGTAAGTTTTATTTGCACTTAGATTTTCGTGTAGATTGTACAGATACTATTGACATATTTATATTTTAGAACTGAAGTTTTTAAGTGACAAAAATACTCTATAAATCGTTACAACAAACCTGTGAATTACACCTGTCAGTGGTGTCTCGGTGTTACAAAAAACACCCATTATGTTAGTTATTAAAGTTGTTATATCGTATATGCTTAACTAGGACGTTAGTTGCTACACGTTACAGTACCAGAAGTGCTGCTGTTCTGTATATTTAATATATTGTTTCTGTTTCTATATTCAGTGATAATGAGCTTAAAGCCAACTCACTGCTTCGTTTTCAATGTGTACTTAGATATTAGTATTTGTACAGCCTGTGCTCCACGCATGTCAGGGAAGAGCATTTTGTTATTAATGCTTTAAAAAAATTGCAAGTACATCATGACCTCAATTATTTGTAACTTCACCAAGTCATAAATGTATCTTTTATTTGCTTTTCTATTGAAATTTGATGCTTTATCAGAAAAAGTAAAAAAAAATTGTTGAAAGTAGTGGTAAAAGTAAGGAATACATCTTTTTTTTTTTTCAT